TACACACACCCTCAAGCACACCGCCCTCATGCTCACCCTCTTCCCTTCACCCGACACAGCCGCCACTCATTATAGTTCCCACCACTACCGACCCCAACCTCCGCCACCTCCTTTCCCACCTCCACCAACGTCGACAACCGTCAGGCTTGCATCCCTTTTCCACTCACGCACTTAGCTGGCTTCCTCAATCTTTTCGCAGGCCACTGCCACGATACTCTTCCACGCTGAATACTCCGTCTTCGTCTTCTTCCTTTTTTCTCCCGTTCCTGATATTTTTTCGCGCTCGATGGCTGTCGAGAGAAATTGCGCGCAGTTCGTCAAATTTTTCCGCAAGCTCAGCCACGCGGCCATTTTCACCACCGATAAGTACGTGAAAACGTGCCATTCGATCGTACAGTTTACGAAAAACGGGAAGAAACGCGGAAACACCGAGGGATTTATTCGAATTGTGTAAACGTAAGATGGAACTTTTCTCTTGGAAACAGTCGATGATCAACGGACAATCAGCGGTCGATCGATATCGCCACCCTCCCGAGTCGTTTCTCTGGTAGAAAAGTTTCGCCGACGAAAACTTGGTCCGAGTACTTCCAAGTACGCTGGACGACCGAAGGATGTAGGAGGTAATCTCGAAGAAGGGAGAGCGGAAGTCGAGAACTCTAGTTTTCAAGTTAACGAGCATCAAAGAGTCCAGACTTACTTTCTACTTTATAACACACCGACGGAACCGCAAAGATGAAAATCGGTCATCGTTATCGATCCGCCCGGAGAGCTCCTCGATAATTACTTCGAGAGACGTCTCGTCGTCGTCTCCTCTTCTACTATTTTTTCTTACACCGAGACAAATACGTATCGTACATGCACCGCGACACGTTGGATCACGGATATTCGTTGTAGACCCGCGGCAAAGTTGGAACGGGTCGAATCCGCGAGGGTGAACAGACGCGCGCCACCGTCGTCTACTCCTCGCAGATTCGAAAGGCGCGGCGGCGACGGCGGCGGCGGCTCGCTCGATCGCCAACGACCACGAAAAGTTTCCCCGGTCAGATTCAACTTTCGCGCCGTTCGAAAAAGCCCGCCGCCCGCCCCGAATTGGGTCACCGACACTCCGACCGACACTCACCTCATCCCCCGATACTTGCCGTTCTATCTGCCTGCTCTCGTTGCCACGTTCTCCAAACTTTTTTACCTGCGTTATATTTCAACCGATCATCGCGTACTACCGTCTATTCGTCGCCAACTTACGTCCACATTTTCCAATTAATTCACCTACATATATAAAGGAGGAGGAGGAGAAGTCTTACGTTTTCAATGGCACGGGTTCACTCTTTTCCCTCGACTCGAACAATCGTTTCGAATATCTTGCTAGCTGGATGTTGAACGCGCAACGAGAAGGAGAATGTTGCTTGCCCG